TTATTTTTCAGTCTACTGTTCAGATTGTGAAATAAAATCTTAGGCTTCTGTTCAGCCTGTCGATAAAAACAAGTGTAAAGATGAGTGGACTAAATTCAGGTTCAAGACGCAGCTAGTAAGTCTTATTCGTTAAAAATCAGTAATGGGCCGGAAGAAAATGCCCAGAACAGCAGACCTATGACGTCCAACAAATAAAATAAAAACACGAAATTCCGGCAGAGAAACCTATGTAGTGTATTACTGCTAGCGAACAGCGATGACGCTAAAAGGGGCATGTACAGCGCGTGACCTAACTAATGAAATGTGTCGAAATTTACGATTGATTGCCAATCACTCGCAAACCGACACCATTTCATGAGTCAAATGCCTATGTTAATTACGTACGAGTTTAAAAGAATCGAAAACATAAAAGAAATATCATAGGCAGTGTTGCGTTTTTCGGAAATGTCGATTTTTTTGTAAAACGCAATATCCGGACGTTTAGAGAAGTTGGCTCTATTTCGTCCGAATTTAGGCAGGTAATTTCGACTTGAATACCAGCAACTTCGGCGACGACCTAATTTCTGATGGAAGATTATTCCAAAGAAAGGCATATTTGGAAGCAAAAAAAGAGGGAGTGCTTAGATGTAGCGCAAAGAATTGGCGGAATCACCATGGAGGAGTTGCGCATGGCATAAGATCGGTCTCTCGGAGTGAGAGTGTCAATGAGCGGAAGATTGGAGCTAGAGTTAGTGCGAAAAAGGGAGCAAAGGCCAGCTTCGAGTCTTCTTAGCCACAAAAACTTAATGTTTGCCAGCTAACATCTCTAAGTATAAAAAAATCGGGATGCGACTTGAAAGAACAGTTTCCGGGTGAATACCCTCTGAAAATTTTCGATCTTATAGCGGTCACAGACGTTCATTAAACCAAAGAAAGGTCAGCACTATTCGTGGACTGAAAGAACAAACATTCGATAGTCTTAGCTTTATTTCCGGAAGAAAGAAATATGTTATATGAATCCACATATCTGCGCAGATTTGGCAGAGATTCTATCCGCATGGGGTGATAAAGCAAGTTTATTTGTATAACCTAAACCTAGGTCCTTTTTGGCGAAGCATACTGTGGGTGGTTGATTCTGAATAATTAATGGGCCAGGAAATTCGGCATTAAACGAATCGTAGTCTCTTATACCGCCCAAGATTCCACTCGTGTTTCTCACAGAACTTGCCGGTGAACTTGCTGTACCTTTGTTGACACCCTTTCAAACGTTTTGGACACTGGAACACCTTCTATCGACTGCAACTTGGCGCATATAAGTTTACTATACAAGGGCAGTAGAAGAGCGTCGACAGCTGATTACAGACCCATAATTTTGGCATGTATTCTCAGCAAAATTTCCAGGAGGATCATGAGGAGCCATTTGCTGGAAGTCCTAGAGCACCCCTATACCTCAGTCAACAACTTGCTACCAAACTGCCTAAACGGGTTTCGGAGAGAAAGGCTGTTTACGAAAAACTAACTGTAACCTCTCCGAGGCTGGACCCGAGCTCTCGACGACAAGCACGCACTCCACAGCTTTCTGTGTCTTCCAGAAGCGTTCGGCACTGTGACACACTAGACACTTCCTAAACGATGTCGAAAACTTCCTTATTTGTCGGCACCATGTTTTTTGCATTAGTCAACGAAAATCAGATTCTGCTGTGGTTGAGAGTGGTGTTCCCCAGGGTTCAGTACTACGACCCTTTTAGTTTCTAATGTACGCGGACGAATGCGCAAGTGTTTTGAGTTGCGGAACAGCAATGCGTGCAAATACAGGCGAAATATAGATTGTAATTCGGGGCCCTGCCGACGACAGTAGACGCAGATGAACCTCGATCGGTTAAAGGAGTGGTTAAATCGTTGGCTCTTGCTGTTAAGCGTTGGTAGGTGTAGTATACCTCGTCTAGACAACCCAGCCAGGTCAGCCAGAACAGGAGACTACGTTCTCGATGAAACGCCTTTACAAGACGCCGAAGCCCAAGGTGACCTCGATGTGCAGACAACGAAATCTCTTAAACCATCCGATCATTATTAAAGAGTGGCAGAAAGTGCAATGCCCGTACTGTACCCCAACAAGCATATATTTATGGACTTAGAAGAAGATACATACTCAAAAATTTTCGTAACATTCATGCGGCCTCAGTTAAAATACGGTATATAAGCCTGGAGATCACGGGCGATACAGGGTCAAAATAGTCTTGAAAGAGTCTAGGGGAGAGCCAAAAATTTAAGGGTTCAAATTTCATTTCCTTATCCACCAAATCTGAAAATCTTCCCTTTGAGTTATAGGCAAATGCACGGTAATCTCTTACAAGCATTCCCATTGTGAGCGGATTGGACAAAAGCCTGGACCTTGAGCAGTTTTTAGAATTCCATACCCCGACCAACCTCCTCGAATCACTTTTTACCCACTGCTGGTTTATGAAGAACACATTCACTGCTGAATAATTCGGGCGTATTTTCCGACGCATTGTGGACGCTAAGTTTAGGAGGATTTCTACATTAAGCAATTAATGGCAGTACGTTTGTTGTGTCAGCAAGTGACCGTAATAATTGTTGTGTATGTCATCTATATCGACCTTAAAAAGGCCTTCGATAGTGTGCCTCACCACCGCCTTCTATACAAACTTAGCCGTGCAGGATTGCGAGATAAGCTTCTCATGTGGATTCGGAGCTTTTTAATCGGCCGCTCTCAAGCCGTCCACGTCAGTGACCAACAATCTGCCGAGGTTGCCGTTAAGAGTGGTGTTCCCCAAGGCTCTGTTCTTGACCTTACACTGTTCCTCGTATATGTCAATGACTGCGCCAGCGAACTGAATTGCGATGTCGCAATGTTTGCCGATGACATAAAGATCTGGAGTACCATACGAAGCGAAGTTGACGAGGCGCGACTGCAGACAAATCTGGACCACCTCGAGCAATGGTCGAAAGACTGGCTTCTACCGTTCAACGTAATCGAGTGTAATTTCCTACGCGTCGGCCGAACCAGTTCTCCTAACCACACGGTCTACCGTCTGACTGGCAAACCACTGCAAGAAGTCGAAGCCCAGAAGGACTTGGGTGTATGGATCACAACCTCGCTTAAGCCTTCGCTGCAATGCTCAAAGGTAACCAAGTCGGCGATGTCCATTCTATACCTCGTCAAACGGGCGTTCTCCTGTTTGATGAAGACTGCTTCGCCAAGGTCTTTCAAACTTCCGTGCGACAGCATCTGGAGTTTGCTATCCAAGCATGGAGACACGGGACCGTTAATGACTTGGGCATACTCGAAAAAGTTCGACGGCGAGCAACGAAACTTGTATCTGGGCAGTGGTCACTACCCAACGAAACACGATTAGCTAATCTTGCCCTCTTTCCTTTGAGTTACGGACAGCTACGTGGGGACCTGATACAAGCTTTCCGCATCGTGCGCAATCAGGGCTGCTGTCTCGCATCAGGAGACTTCTTCGAGTTGGCGACTACGACTAACCTGAGAGGCCAACCACTCAAACTGCATGTGGCTAGTGCCCGGCAAGACACACGAAAGTTCTTTTTCTCCAACAGAGTGGTTGCAGCTTGGAATGCCTTGCCTGAGGATGTTGTTATTTCGGGCTCCGTAGATACTTTTAAACGGAGGCTAGATCAGCATTGTAGCGTGCACCACAATAACGTCGGACTACGGCCACCTGGACAGCCCACGTTGACAATTTAGTGTTATAGCGATGCTATTACCAACATTTAAGTAATATATGTTTATGTAACTTATTAAGTTTGGGTCACGTCGCACACCGCTGCTCGCATTCACCACGATGCCTGTAGACTTAACAATTTTACTTCTTTTCCCGTATCTTAAGTGTGTCTCAACTCTCCGCTGTATTTGATCAACAAAGCAAGTTAATGTGCCTCTGAATTCTGTTAACTCAAGACATTCTATGTTCATCAGTACAGTTTTTGCTATCCCCCTCGCATTTCTTCCATGTTACTTCCTTTCCATTTCCTCCATATATATCCTCTGCATGTAACCAATAGGGATTTCAAAGGTACACACCTACTTTACCTTAAGTATACTGATACTGAACACATTTGCTGGTCACCTGGTTGACCTTGAACCGGTGAATTATCCGCAAACCGCGTCAGTCACTTGCTCGGAGAAGCGGCTCGTAGATTGTTTGAGCAGTTGTGCAATTGCGCGCACTTATTTTTACAAAACCTTCCCCGGTTAATATACTGGCGCATATTATTTGTGAATAAGAAATAGCAGCTGTATGGAGAAAGCCGGTGTCACAGGTAGGTCGCGCGCGGTCATGCTGTTCCTGTCAGGTTTATAATTTGTCCCCTGTAGCTATAGGGGCTTCCATTAAGGTTGCCCTGATAACGAGTATAGGTATAAACTGCTTTTGATGTTGGCGTCTCCAAAGGTTTACTTCTCACTAGACCTGTCATTGGGACGTAATCCCCGAGTCTACATTTCTCTGAAAGTTTACCTAAATTGTACCCGATGGTTGCTAGTGCACGACGCCAAATGTCGGACTGCAGACGATGGCATAAAGTCGACGAAAGTAATTTCACCTGCGGAGTAAATAAAATGTAATTATTTTAACTCAATCCACCGCGTGGGAAGACGAGATAAGGAAAAGAGCCGTTGTAAGTGTCCAATCACCTAGCTAGTCCAAATTCACTTTATGAAGGCGGTTTCATAAGTGAAGACCCTTAGTGGACAGCAAAGAGTACTTACCGGAGTCATGGGTAATGGTGTTAATGGGGGAAAAGGGAAGATAGTATTCAAATATGTTGGTGTCCTATCGTCAGCACCTGAAACTGGAGACTAATTAGTCTCCGTTATCATACCCACCTTGATGCGGACCGGAGATTTACAATGAAGTAACAACCAGCAAAACTGCATGACAACAGTACTGAATTTTTGGTAACCACCAACATGTGCCTAGTCGGCCATCTTACGGAGCAAGGTTTTAAACGGAATTACAGCATGAATGATCATGTCAGTAGGTGGAGACCGTGCGTCGACGAGAAGTTCCCTACCATAAATTACGAAAACAAAAACTATACAACGTGGCGTCCAACTTTATTGAAACCCTTTTGGGACTGGCAACTTTATACAGCCGGCCTTTCGACACACTATTAGGCAAAATTATAATCTATGAAGAATTCTATCCAATCGACTATTGTAACTTTGAAATTTACTGATTATGACTTCCCTTCTGCGGGCTGTCATGTATGGCCGAATTAATGCGATGATGAATTTAGTAATTGCGATGATGAGCCATAGACAAAGTCATGTCCGATCCCCGCAACGCTATCATACTTGTATGGGATGTCAGGTAAATCGAGTGTGTGGGTTCAGCTGTGCACTAGTGTCAAAGCTGCAACCGCCTCCTTACCAGGTTCTTATCTTGCCTTTCCTGAAGAGGGCAAAATCGTCCACAGGAATTCCGGCTGTTCAAGTGTTAGTTACCTGGCATGTGTGGTCAGACATGTCCAAAAGCCATTTAGCTGGAGCAGTCTGTTATCAAGGCTACACTTGTTCATGAGCCAACCACCCAACCGGGCGCCTCTTCCAGTGTTGGTGCAGTGTGGCTAGTCCCTTTATTTAAGATCAATTTCGGATAGGAATCGCAAAGTCCAGAGTTCACTCAGAACAATGACCACTTTTTGTCCGCCAAGCTTTCGATTGTTCATACTTCGCCTGATCCCTGACTTTTAGAAAAGTATAATTGTGCATATGGAAGTTGCAGCAAATCTTATAAGCTTGTTTACTTACGAGTAACTATTCTACCAGCAGCTGGTAGTAGACTTTCAATACTTTTTAGGCCAGTCCACGTGCTCGCAGATGTCACCGACGACACGTGCCATGGACAAATTAGCATAGTGGCGATTTTGAGCGGGCAGAGGCACAGTGGCAGCAAATTTTCGTGGTTTGCTGTTGGAACTCTGGACTTTGAAATCTATTCGTAGGATTAACCTGGGACTCCACAGACCTCAGACTCACTTCGTCCTTTTGGGAGATTATTTTCTCACGTTATTTGCCTGGAATATATGAAACCAACCACAAATGGTCTGTGTAGTTCCCCTCACTGATCTAAATCCCGCTGATACTCTCCTTTACATTTGCACAGCCCCTTTCATGTCTTGTTCAAAAAGTAGACTCGTGCCATCTCCTTACGTGACCCGGCATACCTTATTTCCACCGCACCCCTAAATTATTCCCACGCCATGTCCCGGTCGTCATACGGGGCCTGGTTAATTTAATTTAACCCGTTGCCTACACACGGGTGTAAGTCTGACAAGATCAAACCCAATCTCCACTTTGCTCTTAATTCCAGCCTGGAGCATGCGGAAACAGTTGAAAGGCGGACGGCCACTGCCAATCTAGAGGTCTACGACAAAAATGAGGGTAGATGGATCCTGGCTTGTTTTTTGGCCAGCCAACTGTTCTCCCTGTGTTCACGTTTGCAAATACTCTTCCCCTGACTCTGATACGACGCGTTGAGTTCATCCCTTCTGGGGATTAGGACGACCCGGCGTTTTGGTGGCCGGTAGAATAGAGATCTGAACTTTGACGATTAGGACGTTAGACTTAAAATTGCTTCAACACTGACGGATAAGGGGCCAATTCCAGGATACTCGCGACGTGAAAATTGTCGGTAGGCCTTCACATGTGAACCGTCTGTGCTTGACGGGCTAAATTAGTTCTCTGATCTTTCACGAACTACGCTACTTGAACTCGAGTGCGCTCGTGCAGTGCAGCGCAAGTCTCCTAACCGATTTGCACGTGTTGATTCCCGTCGTCCATTTGACACATGAACCTAATTAGACGTCATTTTGGGTCATCTACAATTTTATTGCAGTATATTGAATCGAGTTTCCCACTTTGTAGCTGTTCAACCCGCGAATGTGCCAACTTTGCGTCTCACTGACGATTTGTCGATCCCCTGCATCGGATTTGGAACGTACAAGGCATGCTGTTACACTTTTGACGTGTTACACATCTAGCTAGTCGCCGCAGAGGTGGAGTCAGCTCTTGATGCGGCCTTCGAATCCGGATACCGCCACTTTGACTGCGCATATCTTTATCAAAATGAAGAATTCATCGGTCAGAAGCTACAAAAGTGGTTTGCCGAGGACAATGTCAAGAGAACTGATTTATTTGTGACTTCAAAAGTTGTATCCTTTTTCATACATGATCTCTGTCTAGCTATGGAACACTTTCCACCGTCGCGACCTCGTTCGAGTGGGTTGCAAACGATCACTAGACCACCTCAAATTAGACTACTTGGACTTGTACCTTGTACACTGGCCGGTTGCCTACCAAGTTGGTCAACTTTACTCGAGCATTCAACGCTTCCTTTAGCCAAGTGATGAGATAAGCCCACTGAACGCCGATGGGAGTGTGAAGTTAGACAACACAGACCTCTTGGAGACGTGGCGAGTACGTGGCAAACACTAAGTTTTCCTCTACTTTGACAATCCTCAACTCTAGCTTTACCAACCCCAGACCAGCACTGAATAAGCAAAATCCATCTGCAGATCAAGACTTGGAAATGACAACCTGTCACCAGCCCTGCGCGTCAGAGCTCGACGGTTGTCAGTCCAGCCTGTGCGGCAGCAGGATCCCTTGTTTATCTTAACGTTCTCTTACAACTGCACCTTATAGGCCATGGAGGATCTCGTCAACGAAGGTCTCTGCAGGGCGATAGGCGTTTCGAATTTTAATAGGCGCCAGCTGAAACGCATCCTTGACAACTGCACAATCAAACCAGCTATGCTACAGGTGGAAAGCCATACTCACTTCCCAAATGTGGAGCTTATTGATTTCGCACGTTCCAATGGAATACTGGTGACGGCATATTGTCCCCTTGGAGGCCCGTATCGGCCTACGTGAGTATTCTCTTTGACCTTGGGCCCACAGTTTTCCCAGGCTTACCAGTATGTACATTCTTGAGCACGTGAAAATTCGGAACTGCCCAATGAACCTGCTGTCACATTTTTCTCAATCATTCATCACTGGAGGAAAAAACCGGCATTAATTCTGTGCGCTTAGGACGATAAGGTTGTTCTGACGAAGACGAGAGACCGGAATAACTATTTCCGGCCTACTAACAGTTATCAGCCACTCAGAACAGCAGGTCATTGGGTCTAACACCTTACCGTTGCACGACGAACCCGTCTTCCTGTCAGTTGATTGGGAATATTAATTATTATAAAGAGACGCTCACCGATCGTTTTACGGAACGTGCCTGTTCCGTTGTGCCTTGGGGCTCAAACTGGCGTCGCACAGCAACTTGTATAGGCGGTTATGGCAGAGACAAGGGGACAGGAATGACCGCTTCCGTCTTATTAACCGTCATCAGGCAGCCGTACAGGACCTCGGGTAGAGAACAACTGGGACTCAAACCGAGGATCTTTGGTCATTAGTCCTGACGCTCTACCGTTGAGCCATTTATACTACCAGCTGCCATGCGACTGACTGTGAGGACTCCAGTATGTGCCCCCAAAGCACAACGTTGCGAGCACGTTTCCCTGCAAACTCAGTGAGCGTCCGTAATCATTTCGATTTTTGCTCCAAGGTTCTGTACTCAGTTGTTTCCTCGTTGTACTCCTGAATTTGATTTAGCTTTTCGTTCTTTCCCTCGACAGATCTTCTGGATGTCGACTCATTGACGAACCAGTCGTTTGTAAGATTGCTGAAAAGTACAAAAAGACGCCCGGACAGATTCTACTTCGACACGGTATCCAGCGTGGAATCGTCGTGATACCCAAAAGCAAGACTCCGTCGCGCATCGCGGAGAACATAAATGTACGCGTGTGTCTTATACAGCGCATAAACGGATATTTTGAATTGTAGAGTCTAGAAACATTCAACATAGGAGCCCCACTCTACCACACGATTTAAATACAGGATTCTGTTTATTGCACATTGAGAAGTACGCACATGAGTTGGCCGCCCGGTGCCCTTAGCTAGCTATGCACTAATAGGACGTCCTGAGGGTTGTTCTCAGGCCAGATTAAATGGAGGAATAGGTACGCATACCCAACTGTCGTGCGCTCGCGCAAAAAGACTAATATCCGAATAGAGACATACTCCCGTCCAGGAACTTCATTAGGTCCGTATGCTTGGTCACCCATTAGACTGAAAATCTGTTAACTTGCTGGTTGTAATGGGGAGAGCGGCTGATTACGTTTGAATCCTTCCATACCTTTCGTCGAAATTCGAGTAAGTCCAGCCATATCTAAATGACAAGGTCGTTCGTATTAGGCTGCCTGCCCAGGCAATTTGTAAAGTCCTTCCTGCTCGGGGCCGTCGACTAAACTCCATTAGCGCCCATTTGGGGAATATTTTGATATAGAGCCCCTGTTTATTTATCGAAAGCCTTCAGCGTACCACTAATGTTTAGGTTTCCAAACGTTTTAGATTTTCGACTTTGAATTGACAGCAAATGAGATGGAGGAACTTAGAAAACTTGGGAACCACGAGCGCCTCGTTCG